TGTGTGTGTGTGCGTGTGTGTGTGTGTGTGTCTCCGTGAATACTTGTGGTGCAGGTTGTCTCTTCCCGCTGGCTTGGTGAGGAGACTCAAGTACACACACCAGATTTTTGCGTACCTGGCTTCTGAAGGCCCGTTGTGATATATTGGTCTTTCTGTCCGTGTACTATTTTTAGACCGTAGAACTGTGATATTCCATTTATCCGATTCGTTCAATCGACTTCCCCTCGTTTTGAGTTCCCCGTCACTGGCATCTGCCCGGCCTGTGACTCAGCCTGACGACTGCGTATTCACAATTCTTTTCTGACTACCTTCTGCATTGCGTGCTCGTGTTCTCGATCTCTCTGTAACTTATTGCACCTTCCCCTCTCGATCCGCCCGCACCTTATCCATTCAATCTGTACCTTATCCATTCAATCCTCGCCTTATTCACATTTTTTTCTCAGCGCGACTAACACACCATCAGTTTGTACCCTTATTCAGATACCCTTACTTTGTTTCTCATCCTCCAGCACCGATCCAGTCGGCGAATTCGATCCTCACTTCTCTCTACTTTCTTACCCTCTCCGCTGCTACCTCCGCTTCCTCCTCCTCTCCCCTAGTTACGCCTGTGGGCTCCTTGACGCCAGTTCTTGCATATTGCAAATCCGTGTTTTGTTATCCCTTATTTGCAAATCACGGGCCAACATTGGGATCGAGTTGCAAATCAGTGGTAACCCCCCCCCCCCCCCCCCCCCCCCCCCCTCCCTGGAGAAGATTGGGGAGAATGGGAGCCATTCTCTCCACCCTTCTACCTACGAAGACTGGCTTATGGGAGATCGACTTCCCTCCACGGCAAGAAAAGTGACGGAGAAGCGTACTTGGATGGCATGTAAGCTGCTGGTGTGACTGGCAACGGGGCGATCAAGGTAGTTAGTAGATTTTGCGGATGCCGGTGGATGGAGAAGGTATCCTTTGTATGATTTCTGCGAGCACCTGATATGTCGCACACCACCGAAGGATCATTCCTCCCTTTGGTTACAGTGCCGCAGTGCGTGGTCCATGTTGTGGGTCCATGTTGTTGTGGGTCCATCTGGTGGGTCCATCTTGTGGGTCCATCTTGTTGTGGGCCCATCTTGTGGGTCCATCTTGTGGGTCCATCTTGTTGTGGGTCCATCTGGTGAGTACATCTTGTGTGGGTCTGACAAGATGGAATTGTGGAACGGCTGACAGAACATCCGAAGAACTGAACCAACAAGTGTCCGCTGTGCTGGCTGTACTTTCGACCGCATCAGGACTGGATGCATTTACTCCATCCCTTTGCTTCGAACTTGGTGCATGTGGAAGACTTCTGTACGAGGAGAGAGAGGAGGAGGGAAACGTTGAGGCAGGAGGGGAGAAAGGATGTGTTGACACGAAAGGAGGAGGGGTGTGAAAGGAGGAGGGGTGTATTGAGGGGAGAGGAGCCACGAAAGGAGGTGTTGTAGATGATACATATGCCTGGGATCTCCCTGCACTGGAGACGGTTTGGTCGTAAATGTGCTTTCGGCTTTCGGCTTTCGTTGCAATCTTGTAAGAGGGAGAGCAAGAGACATCTGAAGGAGTACGTGACATGCAGGTTTGACTTCTTTCGGAATTGAAATCGAAACTGCTGTCCTGACATCCAACATGCCTGTCGAGGACAGCCAGTTGTAGACATCGGTAGAGATGGGGTGGACTGTATTGTCACAGAGAGAGAGAGAGAGAGAGAGAGAGAGAGAGAGAGAGAGAGAGAGAGAGAGAGAGTTTGGTGGTGTGGCGGTTTTCTGGTGCTCGTTTTTACGTTTTACTTCTAATTTTGAGAATCCTTGTGTATTTAGCGTCTGTACATTTGTGTGTTTTCTGGGTACGAAATAGGAGTCCATGTGTTAATCATGGTTAATGTGCTTTTCAGGTGTGCGTTCGTTTATGTTTTTTCTTCTCCCTTTTTCTTTTAATTACTCCATCAACCCGGGATTGTTCCTCTTACACTGAATTTCGTCTTAAAGTTTCTGTGGGTGGACTGAAATGAGCTTTTATCAGTTTTGCACATCCACTTTCATTTTCATAAAATTTTGAAATCACCGTAGCTTATCCATTTGCCAATTTTCTATTTTTCCTGAAAAGTGCCTCTTTTTCTTTCTTTCTTTCTTTCTTTCTTTCTTTCTTTCTTTCTTTCTTTCTTTCTTTCTTTCTTTCTTTCCTTCTTGCAGTCTGTCGTGATTATCGCTTTGCAGGCGTTCCTGTGCATGCATGTGCATGAGCATTTGCTCCCAGAGGTTTACGTATGCATCTAGTCCAACTGCATGGGCAAATATATACATAGCCTTTCATTATGAGTCCCCCCTGCCCCTATATAAGCCTTTAATTACCAGTCCCCTACCCCTACTAATATAGGAACCGACAGACATAGGAAGATGTAAGATCTGAATACAAATCCATCGAAAACCCCTTCCCGTACAAATTGGGAATTTAACATCATGGGTGGGGGAAACGGGGGAAAAGGGGGAAAGGGGGGGGGAGGGAGAGGAAAGGGCCGAAAGGTAAAAGCTAACTAGGCTGGTTGTGAGATCCTGCTTTGAATAGTCTCTGCCGGCCCCGATTGCCAGCAGGTGGTGGTCCCCGCCAATCAACGGAGCCTCAGCAGCAAAGAGCAGACCTTCAATCCTGGAACGCCTCTTCGCCTCAGGATTCCCCAAAATACACGAATGAAGGCAAAATGGAAAACCAAACAAACAGAAGAAAATGATCCTCCCCCCCCCCTGCCGGGAGGCCTGCAACATGGTGGGGGGGGGGGGCTGCTGGTATCACCCCAGGTTGCAGTGCCAGCGGGACGTCGGAAAGCACAAAAAAAAAAAAGAAGAAGTATTCCCCCTCTCCCTCCGTACAAGACACAGAAAAGTTGAAAACACAGAAAAAAAAAAAAAAGTCCTCCCCCTCTCCCACCCGCCTGTCGCTCTTGAGCATACCCGAGAGTTTTTTTTTTTTTTTTTTTTTTTTTAAACGGGTCCAGTGTCCCCTTTTTGTAAACATCCAAAGCAACTAGCCAAAAGAAATGGCCCCTGCGCAAGGATGACACGCATAAATCGAGAAATGGTCCAATTTTTTTCTATAAAAAAAAAAAAAGGGGGACTTCCTTCCAGGAAAATTTATGCTCTACTTGAAGCTCCAGGTGGGGAGACAGGGCTTCTATCCGCAAAAACCTGTATTCAGTTTCAACAATCGGAGTGTCGTCTTTTTTTTTTTTTTTTTTTTTTTTTTGGGGAAAAAAGGCTCCAAGCCGACTACTCAGAATTATTACTGTACTCAAAAGAAATCCAACAAGTTTCAATAATCTCCACGTAGCCTATCTTTCGACTACTACCAATCTTTTCAACCTGGCTGTCGCCATTTTGCTATTATCAAACGGCCTTCTGAAGAGATCTCCGCCAGTGCCTTTCAACGTGTCCACTTGTTTAAAAACCATGAAAGTCTCTTTCCTTGCTTGTTCCTTGTAGAGCGGCAGTCTGCCGGTATTGCTAAGCGGATTTGCTATTTCGTCAACACTATTTGCTGCTGAGCTGCGGAAGGATTCGCCATTGCTCTTCCAGATGCTGCTCATCACCGCACCTTCACACCCTACCGTAGGGCCACATACCCCCAGCCATCTGTCAAACTGCAATCCTTCTCCGTTGTGCCATACAAAATCCAATCATCACTCCACTGCCATTCCTTCTCCTATCAGCATTTCCCAATGTGACGTACACCATTGCCAAACCTTGTCCGATAAGGGGCAGTGAAGTGAATCCACACGTGCTATGTTTTGTCTCCCAGCCCCAGACTGAGTCACAATGTTTGCATTTCGTGTCTAAGTCTAACTGCATTCCTTTAGATTCCAAGCAGAGAGACTGCGGACGTCGTTACCTGTAGGGTCTGGACTCTGAAGCCAGATTATCCCTTTTTTTTTTTCTTTTTTTTTTCCTTTTTTTTCCCTGGTTGTCGCTGAGAAGGAATTTTCCTCAGAGCTATCCATATCTTGGGAAAATCTGTTTTTTTTTTTTNTTTTTTTTTTTTTTTTTTTTTTTTTTTTGGAAAGCTATAACTTTTATTCAAAGGAAAGGGGGAATGGAAGAGGCCGGGGACCTCACAATTCAACCCGGGGTTGTTCTGGCAGCATCAGCCAGTTTAGCTTTGGAAACCAGCACAGCTATAACCTGTAAAACCTTAACCTGTTCTATCGGCTGAAAACCGGGTCCAGCGTCCCATTCCTAGCTGCTTTCCAACAAAATTGACCTTGAAGCACAAGTAAAAATAGGTTGGGCTATAATCTGCGGGAAGTTGAAAGTTGTCCAAAACTTACTGTACTATCTCAATCAACTTTCCCTATCTAGTCTAGCCCATCCTGGCCATTACATAAGAGCCGAAGCTCAACATTAACACAATGCGCAGTGAAGTGAACGACTTCGTAGTTTATCCGAACGTTACTCGGGTCTAACACAGCGACCCGTTTGAACCACATTTAAGGCGTTTTCAGCCAGGGGGATAAAACAAGTTCACCCCCCATTGATATCTTCGCCAAGTAGTTGTTTCGTGTCCATGTCTTAATAAACCATAGCCTGGAACGACCCTTTCGCCCCTTGCAGCTTCTCCAATCCGAGATAATCATCAATCTGAGGTTGGCTCGAACCTGATGTTGCTGTTGGAATACAGACACTTTCTCTCCCCTAAATACGCTGGCATTCCTGGCTTTCCAGATTTCGTAACATATTATACCCCTACAGACCAGGGCCTGATAGCCTACACCTTCTGAGTATTTCGCAGCCCCGTCAGGGAGGAGGCCGTAAAGAATCCAATCATCATTCCACTCAAAGGTGCTCTCTGCTATCTGACGCCAATGCTCGGACCACCACAACCACCGTTCATCCGCTAAAGGGCAACACGTCCACAGATGTGCGTTGGATTTCCAACCCCATTGGCAGCGAGTACTGATCTGAGGTATGTCTATACCTTTCTGAGCTAACCAGTGAGCAGTAGGGATCACCATTAATGATTGCATCCACTGCAAACTGGCCATTTTGATTACCCACTTTGATTACCAGTGAGCAGTAGGGATCAGAGACCATTCATGCCTCAAGATATACTGCGCAAATTTAACCCAAAGTTTAGTGGGATCTTCAAACAGGGCTTTGATTACCCACTTTGATACAAGGGCCAAATTCTGTGCATGGGGATCCAGTATTCTCAGTCCCCCTTGTGATAGAGGGAGGGTAACAGCTTCCCAGGCTACCTTTGAGATGTACCCCTGGTCTTCTTCTGCAGATGGCTTCCATAAGCACCTAGCAGCCACTCTACGGATTCCAATATATGCTTCCTCCCCCAAGAGGCAGACCAATAGGGGGAACCAAAGTACCGAGAAGGCCGCTGACGAAATGACCAGGGCTCTTCCAAATAAGGAAAGTTTATAGTGCTTGAGCCATCCCTGGATTCTTGCAATAACCCGGTTTGACAACAGTTGATATTGCGTCCTTGAACAGTCCTTGAGAGCAACTTGTATACCAAGGAATCTTTCTGAATTCTCCGTAGGGACTCTTCTAAGGCTCCAGTCCACTTTCAAGTCAAAAATATCTGGCAGGAAGTAGACCGATTTGGACCAGTTTATTGATGCCTCCGATAATATGCAATAGTCGTCTAAAACTCTCCTCAATTCTCCTAGGGAAGAGCAGGAGTTTTCACATGCCACTGTCAAGTCATCAGCTATTGCTCCTGCTTTCCAGTGGAGGGAAGGGCTTACAATCAAACCAGTGATATTAGCGTTATATCTAATATTGTCAATTAATATTTCTAATTGGAGAACAAAAAGCAATGGAGCAAGGGGACATCCCTGCCTTAGGGAGCGGTCAAACAAAAATCCTCGGATAGCTGTCCATTGACCATAACTACCGAGGTTGCATTAACGTAAAAAGCATGGATCCATTTGGCAAATCCCGGACCAAAACCCATTTTCTTCAGTGTGGTAGAGACAAAAGCCCAACCAACTTTGTCATAGGCTTTTTCCATATCTAGCATTAGGATAGTCACTTCCCTCTTTTCCACACCGATCACTTCTAACCCTTGCATTGTTGTTAGAATATTCTCGAAAATTGACCGGCCCTTCACAAAGGCCCCTTGCTCTCATCCTACCAGGTGAGGAAGTTCTGCTGCCAGACGCAATGCGAGGGCCTTGACCATAATTTTATAAACAACATTTAATACAGAAATTGGACGGTAATTGCTGACTTCCCACTTGTCTCCCTTTTTATAAAGCAGGGAGATGAATCCTTTCACAAAGTTCTTTGGGAGAGTGCCCGTACTCCGGGCTGAATTATATACTTGACACAAGAAGGGGGCAAACCCCTCCCACGTGTACAGAAATATTTCAACTGGGAGTCCGTCGAGCCCCGGGCATTTACCCATTGCCATTTGCTTGACTGCTACTGTTAATTCCTTCTCTGTGAAAGGAGCGTCCATTATGTCTCTGGCAGCTTGGCTAATGCATCTTTGTTATCTATTCCAGAACGTAGAAGTGAGGGACAGATCAGTATCAAATTCATCAAAAATTCTCCTGGTGGAGACAATGTCACGAAAATAAGAAAGTGCATAGGAACAAAGTTATGAAGGATCTGAAGTTATAGGGCTATGCACATCGAAAGGGTGCACCAGCTCACGTACGACCGGTTTGGCCTGTCTCAGTATCAGCGAACGGAAGGTAAGTTTGGTCATTTTATCATATCCGATAATGCCCCGAAGTTTCAACCATTCCAACCACTCCGCCTGCTTTTGGACTTCCAAGGCTTCTAGTGTTGCCAAAGTCTTGGTCCTTTTCTCATACCAGTAGTAATCCGAAAAAGGATCTTTGCCCATTTTAGCCTCCGCCTCTTCAATTAATCGTTTATCACATACTTCTTTCCAATTTCGGGACGCAGCTTTCATACGTGAAAAAACGATGAGGGTCTCTCTAATAATACCCACCCCCACCTCTGCCCATGCGTCCTGAGTGATAAAGAGGTCCTTGGCATTTTGCCA